CTCCCGGGATGAACTGGCTTCAAACTGCTAACCTCCAATTAGAACTGTCAATTCTTGAATCGCTTCCGAGCCGAACTTACTCAGAGTCAGAATTACTTTTCGACCGGCAGTTTTCCACCATCAGTTCGTCTTGGCGTCAAGCCCCTTGAGACCAGGAATAGAGGTTTATTTCTTCAACTGAACCCTTGCGGTCATACTACTTATGTAACATCCTTTCTGACGAGAAGATGGATCTGCCTCTTACGAATCTACTTTATAGAAAGACTTCAATTAAGTCAAATTGTTGTTGAATTAAAAGTTGCTAACATTTTTAATATTTAAAATCATTAACCGCTAAGGTTCTTGTCTTCGTGCCTCTTCTGTCAACGGGAGACTGGGGTGATATTGGCGTCCTTAGAGGTCCGGGCCGTGTTTTACACTTTTTTATTATAGTTGCTTAAGGATCTGCAAGTTGTTAGGCCCTTGCTATTCTCGTTGTGTGTTGAGGCACTCAGTTTAATGTAGTATGACCAATGTAATAGTAGTTTCCTCAGCATGTTCCTAGCCTTCTGAGGATGGTCGTCTACTGACCGAAGCATATAAAGGCATCATATAAATTTACATTTGAGTCGCAATGGACGGTGTCAAATCATTCTATAACATCTAACTAGTGTGACGGACCAGAATGAATAAAGTTCTATCTATCTATCTATCTATCTATCTATCTATCTATCTATCTATCTATCTATCTATCTGTCTGTCTGTCTGTCTGTCTGTCTGTCTAATCTATCTGGCTTATCTGCCTACATATCTATCTACGGCTTAACAACCCTTGGAAACCTTGGCCGCTATTTTCAATTTCTTAATCCTATACACAGTCTATGACCGCCTCTGTGGTCTAGTGGTCAGAGTTCCTTGCTATAGATACAGAGTTTCCGGGTTCGATTCCCGGCGCTACCAGATTTTCTGAGAAGTGGTGGGTCTGGAACGGGGTCCACTCAATTTCGTGAGGATATTGAGGAGCTATTTATAACAAACGGCGGCTGCGGTCAAGAAAACCGAGATTAACGGCTGTGGGGGATCCGCTGCGCTGACCACGTGACACCCTCTATCCGCTAAAGTTGGCACTAACTTAGCCGACAAGCGACGGTCGCTCGGTCGGTTTAGTTCGCTTGCGGACTGCAAGCCACGGATTTTGTCTGTTTGTTATATCTACACACAGAAGACACACACAGACACCCATGCCTTGAGTGGGATTCGCACTCACGATCCCAGCGTTCTAGCGAGCGAAGATAGATCGTACCTTAGACCGCGCGACCATAGTGATCGTCATTATCAAACGTACGCTTGACAAATCAGGAAAACTTGCAAGAATCCTGCGCTTATCTGATAATCAGGGTTATTGCCAGCAGTTAACAAGTGGGGCTTCAGTTTCATTTCACCTGGTTCTGAATACCGAGATCCCATTCCGGGAGGTGGCGACTTCTACTCTGCCGCACTGATATTGTTTCGGAGGAGTCTGCTGCCTCCATCTTCAGGGTAGAATCTTCTAATCCTCTGATGTGATAGCCATGTACCACACAACATTGTAAATATGAAAAGACTTTAATTTTAAATTTCTTCATATTTTCCTGAAGAAAGAATTGAGGATAATATTTTTCTCATTTCTTGAATTATATTTGACGGCAAAATTACTGGGAGACCAATAAAATGGAGATTACACAGGCACGGACAAGAGGATTGTACACAATCCTAGCAGCAGATGATGATAAAATGAAGCTTATGGCATAGCCGAGTTCCAGTCTCACATGGTTTGCCTTCTTTGCGTCCGTAACATGACGCTAATCCCGCGCGTCGTCGTCGTCTATTACCGACTCCACAAATGCATAAGCAACGAAGCGTCCAGAAGATTTAAGCAGGCTGTAATCCTACCTTTCATCACTGCTGTTGCATATTGGGCTTACTGTCCCATAAGGGGCCTCGTGACGTGAAGAGAAAACGCATTTATTAAACATCAAAAAGCCTAAGGACTTTTTGGGGGCTTTACACTCTTACAAAAAAATCCTCTTCTCTCCCTTTCGGTCCATGTTCCTTCTATTCTTCTTTCTTCCTGCGTTTTCATGTATTCAAGCTCTGGCCGTGAAATGAAAGTTAAGGGTAAGAATGAAGAGTAAGCGCTCCGGACTTACATACAAACCAAAAAATATATCGTGAAAAGTGTATAACACTCAAAATTGCCGGGTTTTGCATTTTGTCCATCGTCCGGCATTTTAAAAACTAGAGAACACAACTTTTCGGAAACTATGTTTCCGTCCTCACGTGAAGGGGAAGACATGTTTCTGTTGGGTCCCTTAGAGAGAGCTAACCTCAATCACCGGACCACTGGACCACAAGTCCAGTGATTGAGGTTAGCTCTTCTTATGGAACCTAACAGAGTACATATCTTCCTTCACACCTGACGATGCAAGCAGATCCAGTTTCCGAAACGTTGTGTTTTCTATTTTTGGGGTGGGATAACGGACGATGTGCAAAGTAAAAAAAAAACCGCAATTCCAGATCTCAATTAGATAGAGCCCTTGGTCCAGCACTCAAAACACAACATTCTCACTTCAAAGGTTGATTGTATGCCGTCAGATTGAAATGTGGGCAACAAGACACATAGGAACAGCTCAGACACGGACATAATTGCATTCTTACATATTCACATATATCAACGTATCTTAGAAACAATAAATATTCTTATGAAAATATTGTGTATGCTTGAAATAATATTTTGTTTCCTTTTTTGTTGAATTGCATTCTTTCGTGATACTTCTGCCAAAATTGTTCATAAAAAAGGATTTTCTTTCTCATAATTAGCTGTTTTTACCTACGGTAATTGTTAAAAGAATTACAGAATCGAAAACGGGCCGCAGCGGTGGCAAACCAGCGACTAACCGCTTGAGCTATGACGCGGCCAAGTTCACAGGTAAGAGGGATTTGAGACATGCGTGCAACAGACATATTTCGGTTCTGCGTCGTTAAAGAAATTTCATCATTTGCGCTCAATAAATACGCGTTAAAATGAGGTATTTTGGATAAGCACACACAGATAACAAATAAATATTTTAATAAAATCTCGGTATCATAAGTTAGGTCAAAAAACGGAATAAACAGGATAGCACCTAGATGCGGGTGATCAAGGGATCTAGCAGATAAAATCAGAAGAATCAGAGGCTATAAGACTTGTGCGTACATTCTCAGGAGGCGCTACCTGCTGATGTATCAATTCCGCGCAGACATTAGTTCCTCTGATGACGAAATGAAGTCAACAACACTACGCCGCCTCCCAGAACATGAATAACCTTGTTCCACAGGCGTCTGTATTGTGGCTAACACTACCGCTGGGCACAGTGTACTACAAGAGACACACATTACTGCTTAACTGTCTACAGAAATATCACACAATCCCTTTTCCCAGTAGTCAGCCACTTGTACCTTATTCTGCTAACCACACTGCTTTGTTTTGAGCCTAACGACTTTAAAACTTTAATGGCCCAGAATCGCACTCAAATTTCTCAGGCTCAAATCGTCACAGTTCATAAAAACGTACCAAGTGTCTGAAGCCGTTTTCATCACTTTCTGTACAGCCTTCGTACTGCAGAATTTCTTATTTGAAAAGAAAAATATTTATAGAAAAAAGACCTAGGCAATGCCCGTTCGGCCCTCTGCAGCACATTCTTATAAACATCTTATTCTATTACAGCTGTCACCCCGCGATTTCTGAACATCTCTCTTAAATGAAATTTATTACTGTTACTAAGATCATACTATTAATATTTTGTGCATATGATTTTTTTAAATAAATTTAGGAATTTTGTTTATGAAGTAACAAACGCCATGTACGAAATTTTCCCTCTAGCCTTAAGAATACTCCAACTGATTGTGGGTATTCTTTTTGCCTGTTCTCAGACAATATGTCCATTATTGTTGTCCTTCAGTCCTCATAGAGTTTACAATCCCAGAAAATATGTTCCTCCGTTTCCAACTCGTCACCATATTCGCATTCAGCTGTGGACACGATATTAAATCTACTTAAACTTGCTTTAAAACTGGAGTGGCCTGCTCTCATGCGGTTTATTAACACGAAGGCACGACGGTTCATTTTTATCTCACGGATCCACGGAGACGAGCCATCCCTGTAGCACCTTTCAAAGTAGCTTTCTCCTCTGTCCCTTTTGGTGTTTTGACAGAAACTGTGAAGCTCCTCTTTACCTGTCTTTTTACGCTGTGCTTTAAGTTCTGCCATTGGCAATAACAGTTGACTATCTCTATCTTCTTTGGGTAATACTGCAGAAGAGTTCTTAAGTCAAAAACTAATGGTACTGTTGTTTCTCATGGCCGCATCAAGATTACATCATTCTGAGATATGAAACAGACGCGTTCTAATTTAACCTACGGTGTCACTTCCCACATGCCCATAAACTACGATGCTATTTAAGAGACGGTTTGGTCTTACGGAATAAAATGGTTCTCTACAACAGGGCACAAAAGCTGCTCGAAGACGCTGTCGGCGGGGCTACTATGGAAGGATAGCTTACCATGCCTTGTGGCACCGAAGTACTGTTGACGATGTACGCAAGGAAGCCAGTTTCTGTTATAAATCGCTACTGAAACCTAAAGCCGTTGTCAGAGCAGTAACGGTGTGATGTGCTATATAACGGGGACTACATACATGTGCGTGTTCCTGCCTTTTGCTCACTAAGTCACTGCCTACAGAACGACCCGGTCGCACAAATGACTGCAATAAGGTGCGAACAGTAGCTGAAGTCGCTGTCACAACAGCTACACGTAAGGGTAGCTTACTATGTCATGTTGCTGTGCTCTACCGTGCCACTAATTACGGAATACAAACAAAGGAAAGACACTCATTCGTTGATATTAACACATTACTACTACAGGCAAACTGAGAAACAAAGGAAGCTGGGCTTGCAGAAAGACGCTTGTCAATTGTTCCAGTTAGAGACAGTTGAAAGTCATACCTGCCGGAAGAGGATCACCAGCGCGGGCTACCACAAGGCAGAACCAGTGGAAGAGAGCGACAGGCCAACAGAGAGCTCCTCCTGTGAACAAATAAGACCAGACCCATTAATCATTCCTGTCTCTTATTTTCCTACTTACATCTCTCGTCTGTTGCCACAGAGTATTCCTTGAGCTTGCCCAGTGGTCACAAAAACCGTCAGTCTGTAGATCAACGTGTTTCAGACGAGAATGACACGAGTGGCAGGCCGTCACCTGAGCTGCTAAGCCACGTCGCTGTCTACAAGAGTTCTATCTCCTGGGCAAAACGCCATGTAGTCCGTTCTGGAGGAACATGTCGATTCCATTTCAGAATTGAAGTATGAGTCAAGCAAAAATCCGGCAGTCAGAAGACAGAGATTTTCATAACCACCGCTGTGAGAACCTCATGCACTGCTCCTCTGTTACTGTTTATACTGTACAGCTATCACTGCATTTGCAAACGAGTAAAAAAACTTTGATTTGTTTCATTCTGGTCCGTCACACTAACAATTATAAATACAAACCACTCCGTCCAATGTGACATATAAGTTTTTACTACATGAAAACTTATCTCCCTTACATGTTTCGGTCCTGTCGGGCCATCATGATGTTCCCTCTGAAGATGGTCCGTAAGAACCGAAATATGTAAGGGAGATAAGTTTTCATGTAGTAAAAACTTATATGTCACATTGGACGGAGTGGTTTGTATTTATAAGAGTAAAAAACCGTCTATGTTTCTCTTCGTAAATTTACTCAAAATTCAGTTTACTATTTTCAGAGTGCTAAATTCTGGTGGAGAAATATTCACATGAACAGTGGGATTCTATATACAATATTAATGTCAAAAATATGGTGGTTTAAAGTTGACATTGGTTTTATTTTCTCACTAGACATGACAGAAATTCACGATAATCTACATTAACTTCAACAGAGCTAGCAAGTTACTGGCACCAGAAGCATAGAAGTCTTTATCCTGACTGCGTATCCATTTCAGGGCACCACGTTTTGTTCTTCATAATTTTGTGGAACCCAAAGACAAGTTTCTATGATGTACGGGTTGTTAATGCGTGCTATATTAGGTATGCAATTTTCACAATATGTATCGTTATACGTATAATCCTAAAATATGGAGTATATGTTTCTTGTCTGGTCGTATATACGTTCGTTGTGTTCTTACTGCGCGTTGGTTTCTATATAGAAGCAAGGCCGCTTCCAACACAGGACAACACAAACAGAATAAACGCAGACAAATATCCATGCCTTGAATGGAATTCAAACCTACGCCCAACGTTCGAGCTAGCGAAGTCTTTCATACTTGAGCCGGCGCGGTCTCTGTGATCGGCATAGAAGACAGTAAGTTATATAAGATATAAAATTACACAAGTATAAAATGTACTAACTACTCGAAAGGTAACTCTATCCATGTAACAGGCCCTTGAGGCCCATAGGATTGTGAGACGTCGAGGCTCCCACACTTTCTAGGCAAGTCGCCTTACGCGCCGGCCGTCCTTTGTCCCCAGGAAGATTTCTGGTACTCATTTCTGTTAGAGACTGAGTAGACCCCAGGGCTGGAAAGATTGGGACAATTGAAAAATCCAGTGAACTTAACGGAAATCGAACCCGCTACCTTCCTGCCTGTAGTTTAGTACCTCAAACAACTGCGCTATCGCGCGCCCTACGACGTACTTGAGTGCAGTACATATTTCTGTTAAAATAGAAAGATGCCTTACAGAGCTACCGGAAGGGCAGGCGGATTGGCGGACCGGAAATGAGCAGCAAGTGCAGTTGCCCTACCCTCTGGACGCATTGCAGTGGAGTTAAATTATTGTTCTCGCATTCAGTGCGCTTCCGCAAGCGAGGATACAATGCAAATGTAACAACATACACACACACATGCACTCGGCAGCAGAACCAATTTGCCTAATACACTGATTGATGTGCAATTAGCAGGTTATGCCTCATTTCGATTGCAGTGCAATAGAGATGCACACAGTTCGACTACTATAAAACTCATGGCATGACACCTAACGGTTTTATCGCAATCCCCGAGAAACACAACCATGAGTTGAGAAGATACTCGTACAAAATTCCCAAGACTTGTCATTCAGTCCATACTGTCTTCTTGTCGAGGCCATCGTTATCCGCAGTCGATGTTAAGTATTTATGGGAAAGGGTGGACTCCAATCTGCTGACCATAAAAGACCAATTGCAACCGCAAGAACGATGGTGAGAAAACTTTACAGAGAGAGAGGCTTGAATATATGCCTGAAGTGGAACTTGATGTTTACTGTCAGCACTAAAAGTGTGAAGGGAAAAACGTAATAAAAACAGAAATATAGTTTGTGCGACACACGGCTCCTTTCCTCTCTGCTTTATTCAAGATGCCGTCAGTGTCACGAGATGTACGGAGTCGAACGCTAAGATAGATTGGTGAAGAATTTGAAAGTAAGCAGTAATGGCTAATTCAGCAAACTATCCCAGAGTTTTCCTGGTGGGACTGAGGGAAAAGAGGAAGCTGCCCGACATAAGTTCGAGCCGAACAGCTCCCAGATACAAGTACGTCATATCACTATATGAGGCTCCGTCAAACGAAACCTCATAGAACCGCAACAACTGGATACATCTTGTTCATTCAACACAGCCTACAGAGTCGCCCGCACAACTACTTGCGCGGTGCGCCATGTCTGCGGGCAGGTTACAGTCGGCTTTCGTGTAATCTGGGGGCTGTAAATTGTTCCGGTAAGGGAGAAAATGTGACTAAAGGAAATGCGTACATTGGGGAGAAGAAATATCTATTAGAAATCCGTACACTACGTTCAGACATTAAATAACACAAAAGGACAGACAAAATCTCCCAGTTATGCCTTCATTTTATGTACTTTGTAGCAATATCGGCATCAACGCACTCGCTCGTGGAGCTGAGCTCTTTTTGAGAACCTGTCAATTGTGCAGCCACTCAAGAACTTCCCAGGATTTTATGGAACCCGAAGGTTCATTACCATATTCACAAGAGCCCTCCACTGGTCCACATTCTGATCCAGATCAATCCAATCCATATCATCTCATCCTATCTCTCTAAGATCCACTGTAATATTATCGACCCACCTACGTCTTGGTCTTCCCAGTGGTCTCTTTCCTTCTGGCTTTCTACAAATATCCTATATGCATTCCTCTTTTCCCCATTTGTGCTACATGCCCTGCCCATCTCACCGTCCTTGACTTAATCATTATAATTATATTTGTTGAAGAGTACAAGCTATGAAGCTCCTTCTTAGCAATATCGGAATTAACAACAAGAAGTTCTGGGAAGAACTGTCAGTCAGTTGGTCGGTCGGGTAAATCGCTGCTGGCACTCGCCAGCACAGTTAATCTTAGTTTGGGTCCCATCTGGACCCATGGCCATGTTTTTGTTCTTTTCATGACTTCTACGTGTTTTAAATGGGACGTCCTCTTCGATTTGAGGGGGGGTGTGGCTACTGCTGGTGAATCCCCTTTCTACTGAGGAAACTGGATCGAGCGCTCCCTCGCTTACCGGCCCTGGGGATAATTAATCACCTACTTTCCTGTGATACGATATGAACGACATGGAAAAAGACGTGTCCAACTCTTCTTCTATTCATGCCTCTCTATTCGTTGCTGCCTAGCAACGGTAGGAGGATATACATACAGACGTATAGGCACACAGACAGCAAGGCGACCTCATTAGCCTGCTATTTTATCATTCTTTTCACATTTTCATAAAATTAAAGTAGGCATATGAGGTCGCCTTTTTGTGTGTGTATCTCATCTATCGTTGCTAGGCAACGGCTCCATAAACATGTTTCCACTGCAGCGAATCCAACATACAAATAGAGGAATTATTGAATGCGTAGTTTTATATACGGTCCGTGTCAAATCAAAGAAAGTAGGTGATTTGTTCTTCCGAGGATTTAATGTATTATTCAAAATAGGGAAAGTTGGTTAAAAATGTCCTGTACGTTTCACTTATCCTTTTTATAATGACAGTAAATTATTAAATTTTAGACAAATTTGCACGCACAGGGGCAACTTTTCGAACTGTAGTGAAGATATATATTTCCACTTGACGGACACATACTACGCAATCCGGTGGAAACTATTTATGACATCTGTCGGAGCCTTGCATAACTACAGTATATGTTCGATTTAAGGGAATAACGGGGGGGAGGGATCTCCGTTAAGTCCAAATGTCCGTATTCCTCACAAACACGTGTGACGAATACTGCAGTTTCTTATTTTTCAATCAATTCTAACCTTTGCTTCACACTCAAGGCTATCCTTTTTCTGTTTTTGTCCATGGCGTATTATAAAAGAAATTGTAACACAGAACAAACCAAATACAACACAAATTTAATTTGCGGTATAATCTATGCACTACACACGGATGACGTTCTCAGCACGAATAACGAAGTACACATACACGACATATCAACTAGACTATTTCGGGGAATTACCGACATATCAGCTGGAGAATAATGGGGAATTGCCGACATATCAGCTGGAGAATAATGGGGAATTGCCGACATATCAGCTGGAGAATAACGGGGAATTACCAAAGAATTTTGTCCGTAAAATCCGACGTCCGTTATATCGCTGCCCTTCAAATCTAGGATTTATTATACTCTGAGCATTAACACACCAGTATCCATGCATAAGCCTGTCCTGGAACAAGCCACATTATCAACTTTCCAGTGGGCAGGCAGAAGCCGCGTCGAACTTAACTCTACTGCCCACGTGAGTGCAATGTAAATAGGTTAATCACGACCAGAAATTTTCCCCCCATTGTATTTTGCATGAAAATGGCACCCTAATTAATTTAAGTACTTGGGAGTAGCGAGTGCATGGGAACCCATCCATTGCACATGTTGCTGGCTGGACCACATCCGACATGCGTGCAACCGCTCGCCTCACAGTACGTTCGAACAACTGGTTCTGGGAAGATATTATGAAGCAAACTCTCATGCTCTTGTTTCTGGTTATATTATGAAGCCCGTAAGAAACACACATTAATAATAAAGCCCGTACAGCCGTTCCTATGCAATAG